AAAAAAAAAAAAAAAAAAAAAACTGATCAAAATCCAAACAGCTTCACCGCATACTGGCATTTCAATGATTTCAGAACTAACTGATATGATACTGATAACTTGAAAAGCAAATAAATAAATAACATATACTGAGACAAAACACAGGTGACTGATTTCCATTGCACAAACACATGAGTATAAATAAATTCACACTACCAGGAACAAAAACAATATCATTACATTCCAGATAAAAGTGTTTCAATACTGTTGTAACCAATATAAAAGTGTTTCTGTAATAAAAAAATTGCAAACTGAGACTGAAAGTTGGTAAGGCCGTAAGAATTTTTTGTCCAATAAAATGTCTGCCAACTCCTTATAAAAACTCTCCTCCCTTGATTGAAAAGTACCCTCAACTAGCCCAAAACTGGCTTTTTGCACATAAAATTGCAATGCTAGCCCCATCTTAATGTCTTTCTATATCTTTATATTCACACAAATAAACTCTATTTACATATATACAAGCATGTATTATTTAACCAACCACATATTATGACCATGAAATCACGACAAACAATGAACATTTTCTGTGACCAAATTATTGCTACTGATGTCCTTCGAGTTGTTCTCACATTATCTTTACAACAATGACATTACTCTCACTTTAAAAATAATCAATTATTTGCTGTAACTGATCTGAATGTCTTTAAACTCTGTCAGAGATAGTAGGTGACACTTGCTTGGAATTGAATAATTGGCAAGTGACAGTAAAATGTGAGGCTGGTTTAGGATTCCATCACAAAAAGGACATAAGTGTAAATTTTTAGAGATACCATAAATACATCAGTAGTTTAAAAAAAAAATCCTTGACATGAAGCTTCTATGGTATTATATATATATATATCTATAGCCATCTATGTGTATAAACATAATGTACAGGGTTATATATTGCATAGTGAAAATGATTAAGTGAAGAATCAATATATACATGTAGAACTAAAAATCAAACAAAAACAAAATATTATTGGACTCTTTATATATTGGTCCATGAGATCATTGGAAAACTTTTGACATGTGCCGACCTGGCAAGCATTCATCATACATATTGGCATTAAACTGGAAATCCGTTATGCCTTGAAAAAATATGAAATCTCCATCTTAAAAAAATTGGCAATCATTTTCTTCTCTCCACAATTCTCATTCAATATAAAGGATTCAAATATATTACACCAAGCTTTAAAAAAATAAAAATTTCATCAATACAAAAGAAATGTTCATTTGATTCAAAGCCCATTGCTTTTACCATCGTTGAAATGTTTTATAAAATGGAAATGTGTGAAAATGTCAATTGAAAAACAATGAGGCAGACGTCCAAATTCAATAACATCTAGGTAGATTTTCTGCACCAGTCCCAACTTCTTTTTTGGCAATGACTAGACTCTGGGACAGAGAACAAGAGTACACTAACAGTCTTCTCAAACCCTGCACCAAATACTACACAAACTGTACAAGAAAACAATTTGACAGTTGCATGGCTTTATGATTGAGATCAATATTCTTTTATCAAAACATTCCTGACTGTAGTAATCTCAACAACAACATCCAACTTCTTAGAAGGAAGACCACAATCCTTATACTAGCCAGCTTACAGGCATCTCTGGAAAAGTCCCATTTCGGAACAGCACCATTCCATCTGAAAGTGATGAAAAATCTCCCCTTTCTTTCATAATACACGTTAATAATTATAATAATAACAAGTTTGGAATTTTTCTTTTGAAAACTTTCATAACAAAACCTGTGAGCAGTGAACAGTTAAACATGTACGTGTCTCTGACTTAGCAGCCTATAACTGTCACGATTCTTCTGAATCAGAAGGCTCCGATTGTTCATGATGCACCAGACCGTCCCCCGTGTATCGTCTTTGTCGTTGAGGCTGAGGTGCTACGAGGCGGCGCTGGGAGAAGAAGTGTCTAATTCTGGTGAAGAAACCTACGTTATGGTGTCCAGTTCCTGGAAAAGATGAGGCCTGCTGGTCCTGCGGTTCTCTTTCCTGCAAGAGAAAAATCAGATAAAATTGTTATAACATGTTCTCACATAACTGATGACAAAGTCTGTTGTTTCTGTTTTTCCAACCTTTCTGATAAAATGATAATAATGATGTTACTGCAATGCAGACTTTGCTCTACTTAAAATGGGTAAAAAAATTAAACAATAACAAAGATATGATCAATCATTTTTAACAAACAAAATCTGATACCATAAAAAAGTCACAGATGTAGTCTACATGTAGATACATCGCCACTGTTCAGAGTCTAATGAGAAGAAACAAAGTGAACTTACTGGTACTTGGTATTCAGATCTGTATGACAAATGAAACTCGTCACTGATTCTCCTCAATTCCTGGCCAATTTCAGACTCTGTCCGGATGCGCCTGAGAGCGGGGACGGACATTGCTCTTCCCCGAGACACAGGGACAAGGTCAGGCAAAGGCATGGAGTCGGTTCTCTGTCTTGTTGCTTCATCCTCCACATCACCATGTCCAAGTCTGATCTGTTCAACTGCATTGCCTGGTAAATATTTAAAACAGAAAACTTTAACCAACACTCAAACACACGCATGGAGCCTTCCTGATTAGTTCAATTTTGATATTTTAAAAAAATAACTAAATAAATGGATCAATACAAAGTTCCTATCTACTGTTTATACATGCTTTTTCAGTGTCATAGCAACTAATGAAACAATTTTATTACTTTCTGTATGAGGACATCATGACAGTTTAGATTTATTGAAGGAAAACTATTTTCCTTTTTTTACTGGATTTATCTTTACATGATTAGAGGTTAATTTACATTTAAATCCTTCAATTATAAACAAGAAAACTTTCAACCTCAAACACTAAACACGATAAAGAAAATTCCCATTCAAGTTTAGGCATGTTGCAATAGACAGGTGACTATGATCAATATGTAAATTGGATTCCCAATCAAAACAAATATTGCCAACTCAGTGAAAATGACCAACTGTTCCATTATGACACAAGAAATTTGGCAAAGCTTTACCCTGTCACCCATCTTATCTCAACGTAGTCACATACACAGGGCATGACATGTGACATAGGGACATTATTATCAACATAAATCAACACATGCTGAGCAAGTTGTATCAGATAAAATTGAAAATTACACAACGTGGGTCATCTTTAATAAGAGCCTCAGAGCATAAAAGCGTTTGATTGTCCTGAACCTTAATGTAAACTAATAGTTATTTTATACTGGTTCACCCAACTTGGTAATCTTAATTCAGTAAAACCACAAATACATAAATTCAAGTGCATTAATGTGGGAGCATGGGAAATTTCCAACTCTCATGTTTCTTAACCTTAATTCTCATTTCACTTTTACACCAATGGGATTTACAAGCTTATTTCACATTTTCCACCACCTACATACAATTCAGTTATGGTAAATAAAATGAAACTTAACAGAATAAATATTTTTTTCTCATTGACATTTTAGAAATTGCATGGCTCATCCTAATTATAATGTGTATACATATTACAGGTGATTGTGCAATTTGATAATAATTGTTTTTGTCTCTTTATATATATATATATATATTCAAATGGGATCTTAATACTGTAATGTCTATCTTTGGTGAAATGATGTTGAATCAAGAAGCTGGTAGAATTTCTATACAGTTGCAGTATAATAATTAAGACATCAAACTGATATGACTTGACTTACCAACAAAACTGATCCTTCTTGTGATCCCGTAAGCCCCACACAGAGGTCCGTGTTCAAACACCAGTTCTCCTCTAATAGCATGTGTCATCATCTGTCCTGCGATGTGCGTGGTTTGCGTGCCAACCTCACGACAATCGCACTGGCGCCCTGTAGCGTGGTCTAAGAATTCTTGGGGAAAGGATCCAGTAGAAAAACGGTGCAATAATGGCGCTGGACGGGCGGTGCTGGGGGAAAGGCCAAGTGGCGATGGCACTTCTTGGTAAAGGGGTGCATTAGCGCCTGAGCGGCGCTGTGACCGTGACCTGCGGGGAATTGCGATAGGCTGTGAAACTGGAGTTGAGGCTCCTTGTGGTTCATCTTCAAACAACTGGTCTTGATCTTCTGAGGTAGTCTCCGTATCCCACATCACTGAGGAGTCTCCAAATGTGAAATGTGACTTTTCCTGTAGAACATTACCCGGTGAGGCATAGCCACTGTCTCGTTTTGAAAGAGGTGACAGCTCTTGACTTTTTACCCTTTGGTCATGTTTATCTCCTGTGTGAATTCTGTGCAATGGATGGGGTTTTGTCTTTTCAGTGTCTTTCTCCATTTTTACATCTTATTATTGCAGCTCTGATTCTGAAAAATAGAGCAAACATCTAATTAAATTCTTTGAAATTCTGTTTTTTTGTTTGTTTTTTTTTTGTAGATTCACCCCTTCGATTTTCCATGAAGTATTTCCCACAAACAGATTAGATTAATCTTGAAATGGTTTAAACTTTCAATTGTCTACGTAATACATATAGATGAGACACAAGTTGCTATGTTTTAGGCTACAAATCATAATATTAAAATCACACATACATACGAAAAAAAAAATGTACACGCAATTTTGATAAATACAAATACTAGTATTCCCATTTTTGTCTCTGAACAGTCTCAAGTTTTGCAATTTTTTTCAGAGGTAAAAATCAAAAGCTTGGGTTTGACGATCAACAATGTTTTAGTTAAACTTTAGGTATAAACAGGGAATATTGGAGTTAACTGCCAAGCAGTGTGATGATCAAAACTTAAAACTTGTTGAGGGTGTCAGAAAATTACATCTAAATCAAATCTTTAGGAACCATAAAAAAATTGAATCATAAAAAGCGATCAAAATGATACTTATACACTCATTAAAAACTCCCTAAAACAATCAACTCATTGAAACACCCTAAAACGATCAACAGTGATAAAGATCGTAATTAAATACCAATTAATTCACCTGTGAAAGTTAACCATAGTTCTTAATTGAAAGCTAATTAAGGCGAGTCCACAAATATTAACGCTGTAACATGATCAGAATCCATGCTGACAGCGACACGCTAGCTGCACATGATCGATATCAACTTCAATTTCATCCTCAGTGCGCCAAATCTAAACAAACCCGTCCATAATCTGATGTAATCTACGCAGGTAAATAAAACGGATATAAAATGAGGCTTGGCATTGTGAAAAAAAGATACAAGTTCATGTTTATATCGAACTTAGACTTACTGAACTTTGTCCTCAGTGTCAACACTTCTCCCGCCCAAACATAGCTCAGAATTTCTACTGAAGGTATTTAGCTTACGCTTTGTGTTTTGATGAGATCATCTGTTTACACCACGCTGAACCAATCACGGCAAAGGTGATTCCAAAAGTTTTTGACAGGTCCATGCACGTCCCTAGAGACTTAAGAGCCGCTGACAAGAGTAGCAAGTTGCATGCTAAATTTATCTGTGTACTCTACAAATTTCCACTGACAAGATGTTCTAGTAAATGGTTTAAAATCTGATTGCTTGTTCTAATTTCACAAATAAACAGCTAAGTTTATCCAAGGTCAACTTCACAATGTTGAAACTGCCACCAATGACGTCATCGTTGTCAAAAATTCTCGCGAGATTGTAAAATGGCGGCCGCCACAAAATTGAACAATGTGTGGATTAGGTTGCTGTGTCCATGAATTCGGAAGTCATTAAGATGTAGTCACTTGCTCATCAAATTTATGCAATGGATAGCAACAAAATAAGGTGTTTTCAGCCTCCTATGAGGTAAATGTTTATGTTTTATATATATTGCTTTTGTTTTAACAAGAACTCAAACGAGTCTAAGGCAGGTTTCCGCATCGCGTTATTCCTCTTTCTCTTTCTTAATTTAATTTCTTATAAGAATCTAGATTCACATAATGTAAGCTCGAATGTCTACAACTACCTTTTTAAATGTGTCAAACAGTATTCTGATCCCATTGCCATGTTTATGAGTAGTCGATGTTTGGGGACATCAAAAGAGTAAACTAGCAACAGTTTGAATTGCAACTTAAAATTTTTTTAAAATAAGGTTCTGGATAGTGGATTAACAATGACATCAAAGTGTATATATGCCACACGATTCGGCAAAAGAGACACAGTAGAACCAAGTGTTTAAAAACCCTACATCTTAGGCTACATTCTCCGTAGCTAGCTGTAAATGAGTGCAAAACAAACAATACCATTTGAGATAAGGAAATGTCAAGCACATTATGGGAGTAGCTGTCACATTTCACATTTAACGAACAGTTACTTGATCAGTAGGTAGCTGATGAGTGTTAAGTGACAGTCATATTTTCCCTATACAAACAGCAGTTGCAAACATGACAATACTCGAAATGTGTATATCATTTTAACAATATTGTGTAACACCTGTAAATAAGTCTGTCCGAAATAATTCATAGAAAAATTAGAATACACATACTTATGAAGTGTTCGCAATGCTGTAAACAGAAAAAATTCTTACCCATGGGAATTGAGTTAATTTAGTTACACCCCATTTCCATAGATTTTTAGATCGATCTATCCCTGTGGGGAGTCTCACTAGATTACTGTCATCTTGGTCAGCTTAAGCGTCTGTCCCGCCTACTAAAAACTGTAAGGGGGTAATTAACTATGGTGTCCGCTCGGCTGACTGCAATTTAGCCTGAACCCCCAGGGAGTTAGGTCGATCTAAAACTTAATCTTTAGATCGATCTTAANGTATTTTAATTTTCTGATCAGTTTGAAAATTTTTCTGATATACCTACTTAGGCTACATTCTCCGTAGCTAGCTGTACATGAGTGCAAAACAAACAATACCATTTGAGATAAGGAAATGTCAAGCACATTATGGGAGTAGCTGTCACATTTCACATTTAACGAACAGTTACTTGATCAGTAGGTAGCTGATGAGTGTCAAGTGACAGTCATATTTTCCTTATACAAACAGCAGTTGCAAACATGACAATACTCGAAATGTGTATATCATTTTAACAATATTGTGTAACACCTGTAAATAAGTCTGTCCGAAATAATTCATAGAAAAATTAGAATACACATACTTATGAAGTGTTCGCAATGCTGTAAACAGAAAAAATTCTTACCCATGGGAATTGAGTTAATTTAGTTACACCCCATTTCCATAGATTTTTAGATCGATCTATCCCTGTGGGGAGTCTCACTAGATTACTGTCAGCTTGGTCAGCTTAAGCGTCTGTCCCGCCTACTAAAAGCTGTAAGGGGGTAATTAACTATGGTGTCCGCTCGGCTGACTGCAATTTAGCCTGAACCCCCAGGGAGTTAGGTCGATCTAAAACTTAATCTTTAGATCGATCTAAATCTCTGGGAAAGCACCTTTAGGAACCCAGAGATTTACATTGAAGAAGACTGGGAGTGGGGCATGTGTGATCATAGATGGTTCTGTTCAACATAATTAAAGTCTAAACAGTGTTTTCTCATTGTTATTTTTGGCAATGATTTGTTGTCAGTGCTTCATCTTGGTGGTTGCCCAGGGTACAATTTCTACATCTAATATTTAGTGAACTATTATCTTAAAGCTTGACTGACAGGTAAATTGACAACCTTACCTTTGGGTCTTTTTCAAATGTTAGTTGGGATTTTGAAGTACCTGGTAAAGCTTATTTCAGAACAATTGAATAACCGATTTAGAAAAATCATCATTATGTCATGACATTTAGCCCTTGCCAAGTTTTGATCTGTATAAAATTAAAGATAAAGCAAAGTGTGACAAGATTTGGCACTATTTCTAGATTTGCCTAAAATAAAGAAGAATACTTTGCTTAAATCATAGATATGCTGGCCTATCAGTCTGTTATCTTTGACTATTGAAAAAAAAGTTATTGGTATATTTTGTGATCAGACAGTGCATCCTGGCACCATATCTTTATAAACAAAACAAAAAAGTCAAAATATTTTGATGCAGCAATATACCTTAGTTATTATTTGATTTATCATTTATGACAACAGTTCAGTTGTTCAATTTTTTTCTTCTCTAGGTCCAGGGACGTACTTGTTCGAATCCCGCCCCCACTTACGCACACCTCGGCCTATGTCACTGGTGGGCTGGGGAATATATACAGTAGGATACACAAGAAGAGAAATACTAAGAAATCTGTCTTGGTTCCAGAGGCACATCCTAACCGTGGTTAGTATTTGAGAAAAAAAAATATAATATTTAATTTTTTTTTAATTTGTGTTTTTTAATAATATGTTATTGGTAGAAAGTTTGAATAGCCAAAATCATTTAATTAACTAAGTAACTGATAAGGAGTTAATAAAAGCAGAAACACAGTTTTGGCAGGAAAAGTGAAAAACATAGTAGAAAACTAGTTCCACAAGTGAGTGATGGAAAGCATATCACAGTAAACTAAGACCTCCATATATTCTAATCATACACGTCTGGTTTAAGTTTGAGGTTGTGATCGCTTTTTATAATGGTGTTTTCTTACCATTGAGGAAGGCTTTCTTCACATATATTCATTGCATTAACAAAATATATTTTTACTATGTTAAAAAACTTGATAGGTTTGTTTATGAATCCATTGTATATTGCCCTTAATCTCATAAGGTTTTTAAAAGCTTTGATTATTTGTATTTTTCCTTTGTGTCCTGTAATAACTTGTCTAACATATATGTGTAAAGGTTAATTGTGTGGAAAAACAATGAACAGTGTGTTTATGTTGCTCCCTAATATAAAATTTAAAACTGGCATTTGAATTGAAATCGAGAGAAGAATAACAAATATTGATTTGAAATAAAGAATTCATTACATTATTGATTCTATCAATAAGATCAGATGGAACAGTGTCTTTGTTTCTGAGGTCAACTTAAAATAACAACGATCCAATAAGTGAAAAGTTTAAAGGTCTTTGAAAAGTAAACACTTGGAAAATTGCCAACAATGACACTCAAACAGGACATTGTTATTATGTACATATAACATGCCCAGCTGATATCCTTAAACATATAAGAGAATTGCCTGACAAAATGGTACAGTGGTTTAAATGAAAGTAATAAATTAAAATCAATGGCTATGTGAGGCCTAACATGTCATTTTGAGTGATGAGTAATGGCTATGTTCACCAGGGAGACTGCCATAACAGAGCTGGTAATATTTCTTAATTTAAAAACAATCCCCATTCTCACACATAATGTACAGAATAAAATATCAATAACCTACCTGATGTGATGAAACTATGGAAATTAGATAAAGTTATGTAACCACCAAATAATCTGTCCACCTCTTCCTCTCAGAAAGCTGATGTCGCTACTCTCTGCTTTCAATTAGATTAATCTGCTTTTTAAATCTATACACTGGCCAGATGCCAGGGTTTGGAGCGAGGAGCTCATTGTTTACCTTTGCTGTGCAGCACGTTGGTTATATGTATTGTACTGCAGTCTGTGCACTAAGCCTCGGCATAGGGCAGCGTGTGTACATAAAGGAATATGTCCTGCTGGCGAGGTGAAGAGATCAACAGGTGACTGGTGCAGGCTATGGTAGTGCCTAGATGTGTGCTGTTCTTCAACTTGCCCGTGTCAGAACATTAGACAATCAATTACAGCCTAATCTCCCCCCCCTCTCCAATTTTTTTTTCTGAGCACTGAGCTGGTCTGGGATTGGTTAAGACAACAGAGAGAGAGTGCACTGCCGCAGTGTGCAGAGCCCCTCGATGCTGCAGCTCTCTGTCAGTCATTTTCTGACTGAGCAAGTTTTAGCTCCAGGCGATGCTACCTGGGACCCTATCAAGATCCACTGGTTATTCACTCTCTGCTGAGTCATCATCTTCCACTGTGCTTTTTTATTTCTTTTGCGTCTTTGGTCTGGGGATTTTGTTTAGCACTTTAAACTCGACACACCAGGGAATACTAAGATACGAGTTCTGCTTGATCTAGTGGCTTTTCTTTTTTTTTTTTTTTTTGAATAAGTAAAGAAGATGAATAAACAAACATGTAAATTAAATTAAAAGTTGAACGTTTAAAAATAAATCAAAATACATAAAAAAATAATGTTGTAAAGTTGAGTGGTTGATAATTTTTCACACCTGCCCTTGAAGTTTAGTTTTCTTTGGTATCCATAGTTTAAAAAAATTTATTTACAGTTTTGATATTTCATGATTACAAAAGAAGAGAAGTAAACCAAATAAAAAATTGATGTACATGAAAAAATAAAGCAAAAGAGATTAAAGATAATATGCTGATAGTTTGATGAATTGATAATATTTTAATTTTCACAGCAGCCCCTTTACCTTTGTAATGCTTGTTAAAACAAACTCATTTAGAGTGATGAAAATGTACTAGCTAACAGTTCCACAATATTTCTTCACTTTCAGGTCTTGTCCACTATACTGATGAGAAGGGCTGTTTTCATCCCGATTGCACCCTACCACTGCTGGCACGGCGCTACAAATTCTTGGGGATGATAGGAAAAGGACAGTCTTCAGTTTTCCTCAGGGCACAGGTAAGATAAAATAACACCAGTAGTTCTTACTCTATTGTAAACAAAATGTTTACCTAGGCTTTGTTCTTTGAAAATATGAGATTTTGGAGTTTCAGAGATACAGCCTCTTTCCATACCTCTCTCTCTACAAAATTTTTATATTTTCCTATTATCAATTTTTTGCATGATTATAATATTTAGTTAGTCCCAGAAGTGATAAAAAGAGCATTAATGTAATGATCATATACATACGAGTCTTTTCTTATCAGTAATTTTTGCTATTTTTAGTAAGAAGTCCCAGAGTTTACTTTGGTCACATACATCTGGTTACAGTGGTACTTTCTAATGTTAGCTACAGAGGACTATATTTAACCCTTCACTTTTGCCTTGTTAAACTCAAAGAATACAAATAGGATCCCTGGTTTGCATTATTTAACATTGGCTTTGTTGGTGGAACTGAGATCTCAAGGTATATAAATAAAGGTGACCGGTCCACATGTGAAATAATAACTCACATTTGCCAAGAAAAACAAATATTTACAGTGAAAATTAACAGTTCATAACCTCGCCTGGTCTTTCTTGTATAAAATTGGACGTAAATAGATGTCTCTTTGTACACAAAGAGCTGTTGAAGTTGCTACATTTGGTAATAATGGGGCTGGATGAAGTTTACAAAAGGAAAGATTAAAGGTTTAATTGTGTCTAATTGATTTCCTGGATTATTGTTATAAAACCTATTATCAATCATCACTCTGAAATTAAGTCCATTGTGTATCTAATGAAGAAAAAGAACATGAAAAATTATGCCAATATGCATAAGGAAATATAGATTTAAAAAGCATTGATATTATGATAAGTCAACGTTAAGTACACATCAATTTCACACTCATTTTGATATGTTTAATCTGCAGAAGATAATAGATATGATAAGTACGTGTGCTGGCACACACAAGACACCTGTACAAATATTTAGTGCAGTGTTAATTACATGCTCAGGATATTCAACTTGTAATGCTCCATCAACTGTTGTCTTTGTGTGGTCCCTCATTGCAGGAGTAGCTGAGAGTTGAAAGTGTTTCTTTACCAAGAGTCCACAAGTTACTTTGAAGTTGATATTGATATTGACACTGGTGATACAATGGGGAAAAAAACCTTTTATCATATGTGAGGTGGAGTTAAAAAACATGTTTTTCTTTTGACATTGTGAAGGAGGAGTGTAAGAAGCTAGTATTGTTCTTGACAGAAGGTTATGCACGTGGCTACAGATATCGTGTTACTCTGCTATTTCTCATTGGTCCATGGCATGTGTCAAATAATTAAATCCTGGTTGATTTAGATTTATGCTTCTCATTTTTTACTTCTAAATGAGGTTGTCATTTATGTCATAATATCATATTTAACACATTCAGTTTTGTCTATATTATGTTACTTATGTAAATATTTTCCTGGTAGTGGAAGAAATTGTATCAGGATTTTGATTCAGGCAGGAGCTTTTTTAGTCTACATTAAAAGAAATAATAATGCAGATTGTATTGAGCAATTCCCTAAAGCATCATATTCAAACATTAAAGAATGTTATGCCTAACCCACCTTTGACCAACAGATAAGACAAGAGATAAAAAATTGCCCTTCCATATTTTTTTTATGAAAATGATCAAACAAATTAAAATGGCCCTGATAGTAAAAATCCACCTGTGACAGTTTGGGTTTTGGTGGTTTTATCAATTGAAAAATAAAATATTGTTTAGACTTACCTTATTTTAAAGAACTCTAAACCAGTATCTTAAGCAGCTTCACTTATAGTTTGCAATATGCAAATATCTCCTAAGTTCTAGCTGAGTGAAATCTAAAATTGATGTCATGGGCATTATTTAAGTACCTGTGCATCACATTTCCCCTTTTATTTGCCTGTGGCCGTCCTTGCGTCATGACTCGGTGACATGTCTTTATGAATCACACGTGGGACGTGTTCTATTTGCTGTCCCAATCAAAGGTATTTAGGAAAACCACAGACGCCACATCCAGATGATTTGTTTTAGGAATAACAAAAAGAAAAGAGAAAACAAAACTGAAACAAAGGGGTAGGTAGGGCTGTGTGGGTGCTGTTATAAACATGACTTTTATAAATAACAATAATAATATCCGCAGGCCTGCAATATTTGTTCCAAGCGTAACAAGTTAGAAAAGACAACAATGAAAAAAAGATGAAAATTGAAAATATATTAATGGAAATAAAGGCAGGGGCTCGTATTGTGGTTACTGTTGTAAACATGACTTTATGAACAACAACAACAACAGCAGTCGTATTTATTGACTAAGGACAGTAACACTATTCCTTTCACTTTGATATTTTCTTAAAACCCTCTAGCTGTAGCTTTATTTGATGTTGCCAAACCTTTAAGGACTTAATCATTATTGATTATTATGTGCAACTGCGAAATAAGTTGACTTGATAAATTAACAAAGTGGTTGCAATTTTTATTAGTACCACCNTTTTTTTTTTTTTTTTGAATAAGTAAAGAAGATGAATAAACAAACATGTAAATTAAATTAAAAGTTGAACGTTTAAAAATAAATCAAAATACATAAAAAAATAATGTTGTAAAGTTGAGTGGTTGATAATTTTTCACACCTGCCCTTGAAGTTTAGTTTTCTTTGGTATCCATAGTTAAAACAAACTTATTTACAGTTTTGATATTTCATGATTACAAAAGAAGATAAGTAAACCAACATGCAAATTAAATAAAAAGTTGATGTACATGAAAAAATAAAGCAAAAGAGATTAAAGATAATATGTTGATAATTTGATGAATTGATAATATTTCAATTTTCACAGCAGCCCCTTCACCTTTGTAATGCTTGTTAAAACAAACTCATTTAGAGTGAAGAAAATGTATCAACTAACAGTCCCATGATATTTCTTCACTTTCAGGTCTTGTCCACTATACTGATGAGAAGGGCTGTTTTCATCCCGATTGCACCCTACCACTGCTGGCACAGCGCTATAAATTCTTGGGGATGATAGGAAAAGGACAGTCTTCAGTTTTTCTCAGGGCACAGGTAAGATAAAATAACACCTGTAGTTCTCACTCTATTGTAAACAAAATGTTTACCTAGGCTTTGTTCTTTGAAAATGTGAGATTTTGGAGTTTCAGAGATACAGCCTCTTTCCATACTTCTCTCTCTACTAAATTTTTAAAAATTTTCTATTATCAAGTTTTTGCATGATTAAAATATTTAGTTATTCCCAAAAGTGATAAAAAGAGCATTAATATAATGATCATGTACATACAAGTCTTTTCTTATCAGTAATTTTTGCTATTTTTAGTAAGAAGTCATAGAGTTTACTTTAGTGACATACATCTGGTTACAGTGGTACTTTCTAATGTTAGCTACAGAGGACTATATTTAACCCTTCACTTTTGCCTTGTTAAACTCAAAGAATACAAATAGGATCCCTGGTTTACATTATTTAACATTGGCTTTGTTGGTGGAACTGAGATCTCAAGGTATATAAATAAAGGTGACCGGTCCACATGTGAAATAATAACTCACATTTGCCAAGACAAACAAATATTTACAGTGAAAATTAACAGTTCGTAACCTCGCCTGGTCTTTCTTGTATAAAATTGGACGTAAATAGATGTCTCTTAGTACACAAAGAGCTGTTGAAGTTGCTACATTTGGTAATAATGGCGCTGGATGAAGTTTACAAAAGGAAAGATTAAAGGTTTAATTGTTTCTAATTGATTTCCTGGATTATTGTTATAAAACCTATTATCAATCATCACTCTGAAATTAAGTCCATTGTGTATCTAATGAAGAAAAAGAACATGAAAAATTATGCCAATATGCATAAGGAAATATAGATTTAAAAAGCATTGATTTTTCATGATAAGTCAACGTTAAGTACACATCAATTTCACACTCATTTTGATATGTTTAATCTGCAGAAGATAATAGATATGATAAGTACGTGTGCTGGCACACACAAGACACCTGTACAAATATTTAGTGCAGTGTTAATTACATGCTCAGGATATTCAACTTGTAATGCTCCGTCAACTGTTGTCTTTGTGTGGTCCCTCATTGCAGGAGTAGCTGAGAGTTGAAAGTGTTTCTTTACCAATAGTCCACAAGTTACTTTGAAGTTGATATTGATATTGACACTGGTGATACAATGGGGGGAAAAAACCTTTTATCATATGTGAGGTGGAGTTAAAAAACATGTTTTTCTTTTGACATTGTGAAGGAGGAGTGTAAGAAGCTAGTATTGTTCTTGACAGAAGGTTATGCACGTGGCTACAGATATCGTGTTACTCTGCTATTTCTCATTGGTCCATGGCATGTGTCAAATAATTAAATCCTGGTTGATTTAGATTTATGCTTCTCATTTTTTACTTCAAATGAGGTTGCCATTTATATCATAACAATATCATATTTAACACATCCAGTTTTGTTTATATTATGTTACTTAAAAATTTTCCTGGAAGTGGAAGAAATTGTATCAGGATTTTGATTCAGGCATGAGCTTTTTTAGTCTACATTAAAAGAAATAATAATGCAGATTGTATTGAGCAATTCCCTAAAGCATCATGTTCAAACATAAAAGAATGTTATGCCTA